CGGGTGGGGCAGACTTCGGCGGGGAAGTCGCAGCTGTATCGTACCCGTGGTCACGAACCGGGAAGCACAGGACGTGTTGCTGCCCCGGGCTTCACTGAAGGAATACACGGTGATGTTGTACTCGGTGTCGCACTGCAGAGCCGAGAGGGTGCAGGCCGGCGCCGTGTCGTTGCACTCGACCGCGTCGAGCCCGCCCACGGCCTTGGTTTGGTAGAGTTCGGCACCGCGGACAGGAGACCAGACGACCTCCACTCTGTCACTGGACACCAACACAGGGCTGATGTCACTAGGACAGCAGGGAGCTGGATGCGGGAACAGGGAGAGAGGGGGTCAGCGCAGGAGCAACACTGTCCTCGGGGGCCGCCGACCTCCCCGCGCGCAGACTCTGTCTCTGTCCTAAGTTACTGCAAGGCCCTCCTACGGGGCTGTCCTAACACCAGCCACTTGGAGGATGAGTCCTCTCTGCATGACATTCGAGTTCATTACCAGCTGCACCGGCCTGGGCCCCCTGCCGCCAGACCCCGCAGCTCCCCATCACACCAGTGCTCTCACTTCCCTGTGCCTCACAGACGGCTGACCCCTCAGCTGGAATGCCGTTCCCTTCTTCGGCCTGACAAAACCACCCTCCGTCTAACTGCTAGATCCAATCGGTCTTTCCAGACGCTGAACCGGAGGAAGCTGGGGGGCAGAGGGGGGCACGCAGCAGCATCATGTTAGTGGATTTTAGAAGAGACCCTGCAGCACCTCACGGACAAATTCTGACCGATGTCCAACTCCGCTTCAAGTGTCCCTGGGATGCTCTTGCCCCACCTACCTCCCGCCCATCCTTGGAGATCCAGCTCAAGGTCACGCCCGCCGGAAGAGCCTCCTGGGCTCTTGAGGCCTGGAGGCCTCTTACCCCAAATTCCAAAGGCATTGATTATTGGGTTCCCTCATCCTGGTAAAAATGTATTATAATCCAGCTAGTATTTTTTTTTTTACAGCTATATTGTAGTATTCTTATCAGTAAACATAGTTGATTAATTTTAAGTCGCTCACTCCACTCACTGTTCAAAAATCGAGCATCTCGCATATGCCAGTCACACTGGGATAGGCACTGAGGATGAAGAGATGAATGAAACATAATCCCTGCCCCCCCTGGAAGATCCAAGCCTAGTGGAGATTAATAGTAACAGCAATAATGGTGCTAATAAAAATACTCGCATTGTGCCTTTTCATGTTCATCTTCTCATGACTTATTATTTGTCTCATTCTGCAGTGGGGGATGCTAAGGAACTAGCAAGGTAGACGTCATTGTCTCCATTTCACAAATTCGTTGGTGGTCACGTTAGGACTTGAACCCAGGAGTCCTCGGCAAAGCTCTCTACACCATGTAGCATCTTTGCATCTCTGTTTCCTGCTTTGGGGGAAGGAATGAACTCCTGAGACATTCCCCTCAACATCCAGCACCAGGCTGAACACTGAGTAGGCCTTGGTGGAGGGTTCCAGTTTTCAGAGCAGGGTTAAACAACTACATTCTCCTCCCCCGCCCCCGTTTCTCTCTGAAACCTTGCCTTCTTATTAAACTTAGGTCCACGAAGCCAAAAACCTCCTAGTCTGGAAAGTGTGAAGGAAGAAACTCACTTTCCATTCTTGGCCCCCGAGCAACCCCGAGGGGGGCCCAGGTAACAGGTGATCCGTTCTGCTGCTACGCGTAGTGAACTCAGGGCGCCCTTCACGAGCACCAGGTGCGACTTACCTGTGGTGTGATTGAACACGTCACCCAGAGGGCTCTGCCCTGCCTTGTTATAGGCAAAAACGCTGATGAAATAAGTGAAGCCACATTCGGACAGGAAGTCGCACTGGGTGAGGGATGTGTTGCAGTGGACTTCCAAGCCGTCATCACTCTTCACAAAGGCCACGTAGTAATCACCCAGGTCTACGTTGGACCACGACACAGACAGGTGGCCAGGGGGATCTTCTTGGATCGTCACTCTTCCAGGTGCACATGCAACTAGGAAATCACGTATAATAAATAGCTGCGAGAGACTTTTCTTTGTAGCTTCGCAGTTGTCCAGGATGCCAGAGGAAGACTACATCGAACAGTATGTGCAAGCCAATAAGACATTCTTACATGTCCTGAAATCTATCTCACACCCTACACACATGCTAGACTGTGTCAGAAACGGGCACGGATTGGTCAGTATTGCGTTAATATTGCTTCTGGTGAAGGCAGTGCCAGGATTGGCGTGGAATGAAGTCTTCTGAAGGAATGAATTCAACTGAAGTTGATTCTTTTGGGCCCCAAGCTTTTAAAATTTCAGTCATCTCTAATAGAAATCACAGTTTTCAGGCCCAGGAAACACATAGAACTTTCTAAACATAGTTCTTTTATTGATATGGACATTGTTGTAGTTATCTACATTTTCTTTGGCTTAGAGAAGTGAAATCGGACAAACTTAGGCTTGAATTCCAGATGGTGCAGGAACTGAACATCATTGGACCCTTGGAAAAATTATTGAACTTCTCTAAGTTTCTATTTTCTTATCTAAAAAAAGAGATAACAGAACCTACCTCACTGAGTGGTCACGAGAATTAAATAAAATGATGAACGTATAATGACCGGGACATAGTAGGTCTTCGCTAAATGTCAGTCCGCATCCCCCAGACACGTAGCTATTTCTAAACAAAGGAGTAAATCTCCACGTCCGTATGTCTTTATGTCTTTGATAAGAATGAAAATGGGGAGATATCTAGACACATACTCAGAACTACAGACAGCCCATCTTTATCTTAGAAAATAGCTCCCTCAAGCCTAGGTCTGTGCAACACCATGCGAGGAAGAGGCCCCTATCTGTACTGTGCACAGTCAGAATGTGTGTGACTCACACTGGGGGTTACAATTTTACAACCTTACAGACGAAAAAGAAACTAAGTGAGGGAAGACCTGCAATAGGAACCGGGCCTCCTCTTCAAAGTGCTTTTTGGTTTCACAGTCAACATCACTCAAACGCATCGGCGCATCTGACGCAGTGCTTTCACTTAGCCCAGCTTTCCTTTTCGATTCACCTGCTTCCGAGTGGCGGTCCCTTTGCCTCCCCCCCCCCC